AAGTATCATGAAACATCAAGCCTTATTGCTATAGTCTAAGGACCATGTCATAATGATTATGACGTAACTAACAAAACTACCATCTTGCATCAAGACAATTTAAAAACAAAATGTCCATTCTATGCTGTCAAGACTAGCTTAATAACAATTTGCAAACCAAACAGTATATACTATGCAGACAATCACATTAATCATCACAAATTTTAGGTATCCATGTACAGATGTTCCTTCGTGTTCAAATAATGGTTGATCTTCAATTAAGTCTGTGCCATTAGGTGCCAAACTGTACCAGTACAGCTCTAATTATCAGTGTCCAGACTCCTGTCGGCATCCTTCAGTTCAGGACCTGTACTGTACCTGAGCCCGTGTGCCTGTATCTAAAATTTGTTCAGGAACACAGCTTTATATTAAAGTGTGGTGATACTAATGAGTATGCAGGGCTGTAGTCTTACCTATGGTGCCTGTAGCAGTAGTCAGGTACTCAGAGGCTGAGTTCTAGCAGCTGCTTTGCCTTGCCTTGTTCCGGACTGTCCTTACAATCTCTGCTGGATTTTGGAGGAAGTATCTACTGAAGATCTCCTGGAGGTATGTAAAAAGGGAAACAAATTATGACACAGGTGACAAAATGTGCCACATGATTCTACTTCTCAGAAATAACCTGGGCTAAATTTCTACATGTATTAACAGACATTGTCTGTAGCTGAATAGCCTAAACACAATCATTTTGTGTGGAACAAATACATCACATTTTTTATCACTACCTCTTTTCATCGACACGATTGGCTATGTGTTTGCTACTAACTTCATATCTTAAACCAAGGTCCTAATGCCTATTGACTGTTGACAGGTAAAGCATGAACTTAGTTTTCCCATTCAAATAGGCCTAGGGGCAGATTACTAAGTTAGTTCTTCTATGCTTCTATAGCATTCTATGCTTCTGCCGATTACATATCAAGGAGGGTCTGCATGGGGGGGTCCTGGCAACGGTTAACGTTAAATTCAGCAGGGCCGATAACGCTTAACGGTAAATTCAGGACGGTCGGCAACGATTAACGGTAAATTGACCGAATTAAAAGGCTTTTTTTCGAGCTGCACTGGATTTAGTATCTCGCTTTGTGAGAAAAGGTGATCACTGACAAAATTTCGTATACCTTACATGTAATCTGTGAAGCACGCATTAAAGGTATGTGTTCCCTGTGTTTCCCACCTGCCCTGGTCCCCGAGTGCGTCCACAAATAAAGGGGAATCCGAGTCGATGTCGGCCAGGGCTCTACCCAGGTTGACTTTTTTCCGTGCGCCCAGTTTTACCGATGGATTTTGAGAGGGAGCGCCGAGGCGCTCGCAATCTGAGGGGGACCCGGGAAATTTAGGATTCAAAGCCTTCAAAAACGCAGTTTCCCACATTTTGAGAGGCAAATCATGGTGTTGAGAGTATTTGTCGGTCCTTCTGATGTTTTCATATTTTTACTCAAGAGTTTTGTTAATTTTGTCTGTCAAGGTTGACGGATTCGTTAAAAATTCTGTAACTCTCCGCAAACTTCCGGTAATAGACGGAAAACTAGTGCTGGCTAGAGCCGAAGGGACCGAGCGCCAAAGGCGCGAGCAGTGTAGGGGGGTCCGGGGGATTCTCCCCCGGGAAATTTTGTATTTTAAAACCTTCAATGACGCATTTTCCTGCACTTTGAAAGGCAAAATTAGGCGTAACGAAGAATTATTAATTAACGCTTAACGCTGAATTTAGGATGACAAATAACGTTTTACGTTGAATTAAAACGACCGATAACGCTTCACGATGAATACACTGGTAACGCTTAACGTTGAATTAGAG